AGTATCAGAAGATCAATACGATCAAAGAGGTAAGTATGTTGCAAGAGTGTGAGCAAAAGAAATTGTTATCCAGCAATACAACAGTGAGAGATTAAAAGAACAACTGAAGTCCAGATTATATTTGTAGTAGTCTGAAATAAGACAGAAATTAGATAGAACACGCTCATAATTGGAAAAAAATGTTTTATCTGAAACTGGAATGGTATAAGTTTTTGCAATTAACAACCATCTAAATATTCATTCTGCACCAAATAGTTGCATAAATAAATTGTTATTGTTGTGCGTATTCCCATGTTTATGCGAGATTTCTTTAATCCATTACGAGCTATGCTAAATGCTTGTTGGCCCTCATAAGTGAAGGATAAAACAGTCAGCTGTTCCAATGATGTAGAAAACATGAGAAAAATGTTCTACAGACATGGTAAATATTCTCTCTTAAAGATCCATTAATCACCATCGAATACTTATTTTTGAGTCCATTATAATTATAAGGGTCTGAGGGGACTATGAAAATGTCTTCAAAACATTAAAATAAAATTCCGAGATATCTAATGCGGTAAAATGGTGTATCTCCAACATCTTACCTTCCATTAAGTCTAGCAGGACCTAGTTTCGCCAAAGCGCGTTCAACTTCCTCACTTACCTGTTTAAAAATGATTGTAAGAACCACTGACAAGTAAACAAGAAACAGGCTTACATGGTCAACAACATAAAGAAGCAAACATTTAAGTTATTTCCTTGAGAGAAAAATGAAAACATTCTCCCATAAGGGATGAATTTTTTAATATTAAAAAATTATATTTGCATCATATGACACCATGCTGAAAGCACTTTGCTTTTCTATCAGAAAACTAGAACGTAGCATCTCCCAAATCCTCCCCTTAGTAACTTCTGTGAATTAAATTCAACCTTGGCTAACTTAGGTTGTGACTAATATTCACGCACACGCACAACATTTAAAGTAGACAGTTATAAACATTTAGGTTACAACATTTAACTTCAATGGCATACCGAAGCATTAGTAAGTAGAAGTAGAAGAGAGAACAACATGATTATGCGCTAAACAAAATGCAGTAAGCTATGGTACACAACAGAATTTTTAAGGAAATTTTCAAGCAGCTTATGCATAAGTACAACCAGAAGACATCCTAAATGAGTACATTATATTAATGTAAATAGTAGAAAGCATTAAATCTTACAACTCTCCGAAGAATAGGCTCCAATGATGAGCAGAGCTTCTGTAAACTATCCACCTTGAGAGCTTCTACAATGACACTGAAAACACAGTTTTGGCAAAAGATTCTTATGCTCATACTCATTTAGTTCAGTCCAATACTTAATTACATTGAGCTCTAACAAAATTACTTATTAGGAAACTAACACTGAATTTGACAATTTGCAACATGGAATAATAAATCATTGGCCTGTTATCATAACATCAAAAGAAAGCAAAAATGAAAATTAAAAAGAAAAGAACAGTAAATGGAAATTTGAGAACGGGCAAAGATGAAACCATATGCCAGGTACAACAAACATTTCCATGGCAACCATCATCGGCAGAATTAACCAAGAGCCAGGGAGCAAGCATTTAGGACCATTGCCCCAGAAGCAAAATGTATTGCACAAATAAACTATTATTTTCAACTTCCAGTGACTGATCATGATACCAAACGGAAGTTTATTGACCTAAACAACTTTCTTTATTTCCTTTTCGGTCGCATCAGTTAAATCACAGAACTAGTCATAATCTCCTTTACTCAAATTGAACTGATTAAATAAACAAAGAATGCATATAAAGAAACAAACATCAAAGTTTTAACAAAGACACACAAGAACTACCTAGCCAGAGCAGGCCGCTTTCGCTCAGGCTGCTGCTCATCTTCCGCCTCCAAAGTTCTCTTCCCTCTGCTCCCGTCAGTCCTCTCCATAAACCTTGACTGCCTCTGCATTTAGCCAGTCCCACGAAACCCTAATTTCTTCGGATCTACTAAAACAAATACCACAAATTTCAGAAAATCAAATCCTATCACCATATGCAAACTTACAAATCAAACTTAAACCCCAACTAAATTCCCCAAAATCCCGCCTCTTCCGAAACCCCAATCCCTAACTCAAAACTAGAAGCTAAATTGCAGTAATCTTGAAAGTATTTCAAAATCTTCTCGAACACCAAACAACGAGAATAGAGAAAACAAAGGAAAAGCGGGAAAAAGATGATGGATAGAACCTGAGAAAATTTTTAGACGAACAAGTTTCTGCTTGGAGAGAGAGAGAGAGAGAGAGCGAGATAGAGGAGAGAAAAGACGAGAGAAAATCGAGATACTTACAAACTGATGTAACGATGGCAAGAAATGAGTAGTATAATCTTTTAAGCAGTCGCTGTTTGGTCTAAGACTTTATATCTTTAGTCTACTCTGGCGACTCTAAGCTGAAGAGCTTAGTGGTTATCAGGTGTCTTCAGGAGCACGGTAGATCTGCCTTGAAGTCAGAGAGAGAGAGTGACCTTTACTGTTCTATTTTGATTGACTGCTTGATCATGAGTTGGATCATGCGCCGCGTGGTACTGGATAATTTATTAGTGGATAAATCGCATGTCTTAACTCTACATTCCGCATTCGCAGGTCAAGTTTGCTGCCATTGGTCCATCCGGCATAAGATTGCCCAATGTGTGTATAGAGAAAATCTCCGCCGTAGATTTTGTTTGCGTTTTATGTGATCATGTTGAGGCCTGCCACGTCAACTCAGATGACGTATGTACCTTTTCCCACGTCACCTTCTTCCGTTTCAAATACGTCACTTGCTAATTTTTGTTTGTCTAGACTCACACCTTATCTTTTGTTATTTTACTTTTTTTTTTCGGGTAAATATTTTTTTTTTCTGTATTCTTGTTCTTATATTATCCAATAGCATTAATTAACTTATTAATTCTTGAACATATTTTCACAGAAAAATCAGATTTACTCTATCTTATATGAGAAAGGAAAGATTAGATAGCAATCTACCATATTACATCTCATGAACTACTAATATATTAAGTCTGTCTTCGTACGTAAAAGAAGAAAAAAGTTACATTATTCAATGGCATTAAACTAAATCAAATATATAAAGCGGACGGCTGAACCGGGACAAAACAAAAAACTTCTTGGTTTATGATCAAACCGGAGTGTATGTTTCAAATGGAATTCCTTTACAAAGGAATCTTTTAAATTGAACTGGCACCAAGAAAATGAATATATACTCCATGCAGTCTGGATCAGGATTTATATAAATACTAGATTCAAAAGGTTTTATGTTAAGATCTATCCACAAATGAGATCTGATGAAATAATGAGCATTACTGCATTGGAAACAGTACTGAATGCTTGTTAATTTCTGGTCGTCATAACTCCTCAGCAAGGGCTCGGCAGCCATAGGAGAGGAGAAACAACAGCTGATTTTCACAACTGGCATGATCTCAATTTCTCCGACTCTTGGTTGAACTCCTTTACTCTTTCATAGACTTTAACAAGCTGCTGCCTGCAGATCTCAGGAGGCGTACAGGGTCCGCAGAGGAGATAGATGACATTACCCAAAGGCCTCATGTAAATACCATCTTCACGGAGAACTTGAACAAGTGATGTCGCATATAATGATGCATACCTGACCAAAAGAAAAGCACAGGAAATGTTACTTTGGAAAATATCATGACCAGGAAAACACTAACAAAGTGCACATTGTTTATAAAAAATATGATATAGAAAATATTACCCCGCATTACAACCATCGGCTCGTAGTTCTATGGCACATATAGTTCCTAGTGCAACCACTCTTTGCACAGCAGGGTGTGATGAAATCTGCTGCACCAGTTCCAAGTCCCATAACTGCAAGGATTCATCTAAATATTACATATTGCACGAAAATAATAGTGAAAGTTCAACTCGAGATAATTATATGCTGACAGAAAAATCCTCAAAAGTGAACCAATGTACACGTAGCAGGTAATACTAGTTTATATCTGTTTTTCAACAATTTATTTTTGGTGAATCTTAGGGAGTAATATCTATTTTCTAATTTTGGCCAATCAGGGGAATTTGAAGGATTACCTAGTTTGGAGGCTTTCACCAATTAGCATTTCAGCCAGTAAACTATGTACTGGATTACTGACAATTTTACTAAAACATTAATGAAAATCATACAAGAAAAGACATGATTTGGAACAACAGTATATCTCTTTAAGAATGGATTAAAATTACTATAGTCACAACCAAGGTGCTGGTCCTGCATTACTTCAACTCTCATCCGTTAAGGACATGCCTAAGCTCTTTAGAGTATGTCTTTGGGCAATGGCCGAGGCCCATAAAAGATGGATGCCACAAAATTAACTGTATTCTATTTTTTCTTAAATACTTCAGTTTCTCTTTCCATTGACTTTGCATGCTCATAATAGTAATCAGGAGTTGCAATCCTGATTAAATCTTTGGTTGAGATCCCACATAGCAAGTCAAACCTTTTGCAGATCAATTTAAGATTGAAGATCAAGGTTTGCTAAATGTAGTTTATGTTTATATCTTATTTATAAGATATATCTAATTCACCAATTCTATCTCGTAGAATCAATACCTTCCCTGTCATGGGATTTCAATGTCCAGTGACCCCTTTTCAGAGCCCAATTCTATCTAGTATAATTCTGAACATTCAAAACAAAAAGTAGCCTATCAGCTGCATACTTTAGTTGACTCTGAAAAGCAGGGATAAGGTGCTCATAGAATGATGCCTATGAAAATACTTGAAATTCTGTGCGCTTCATGTGCATTTTAGTATGCATGCACCTTATCTTCCTCAAGCATGAGATCTTGTGTTCTGCCTTCCACAGGCTCCAGAAAGTTTTTGGAGATTGAGTGCACCTTGCACCTAATAACTCCAGTTATATTGCTGTACTATCTAGTTTTTAGAAATTAAAAGCTGAATATGGCCTACCATCACAATTACAACACATGGAAGCCAATAGAATAAAAATGCATGATGTGCAAAAACAATAACTGAAGGTAAATTCAAATACCTCTCTAAGCAACTTTCCTTCAGAATTGATATTGAGGTTTGTCCGTGGATCTTTGAACCATTTCATAGACTTAACAGCTGCTGCACACCCCATAGCATGTGCTGAATAGGAGTGTCCGTGCAACAGAGCTTTGAGCTGCAACTCAAAATCAAATGAATATACTCACTTGCTCAGAGAGACACCACAAACAAGTAATCCAGCATCAATCAACACAGTTAAACTAAAAAGAATAGTAATAATAAAGCACTGCAGAGGCATTTCTACCAGAAAATTTGTACGAATGAAAAAAGAGAAGAAAACAAAGGAAAAAACTTCACAATCATTCCACAAGGCTGATATTTTAGCATGCAAACAATGAGAAAAAAAAAAAAAGAAAAACACACATTTCTGCATTTGCAGGTCTAAAGATGATAAAGCTACGCACCTCTTTTTATATGAGACCTAAATCTACCTAGACTAAGAATTTTGAAGAAATTCTGATATTGAACCTATATCCTTTGAGTTAGAAATAAGGAGACTTAAACAACCATGAGCTATATATTATCAGTGTAAACCGCTTGAAAACCAAAGATAGCCTAGCTTTAAAGAATTACGGTATGTTGTTAACACGGAGAGAGGCTGGAAAAACTACGAAAGAGGGCAACCCATTGCAAATAATTAGACAATGCCAGGTGTAACATAGTCTGAAACATGAATTTTTTACTGTTTTTTCTTTCTCCTCCTTTCATAACAGATCTTCCGTCAATATCAAGCAATTGCACAACTGTATTTTCAAACTTCTAAAACCAACTTGGAAATCAATCACGTTTACTCAAATTAATTGACAAATCATTTATCCAATAAAAGAAGGATTTTGATGTTTTATGAGCAAGAGCCAAGTGCATGCATTAAGCTCTCCCTAACACTTCACTCACTTCTTTTTCAGTTTACAATTTGGTTGCAACCAAAAAATTCATCAATAAATACTTCCTAAAGCAAAAACTAACATGTTTCTCACTAACTCATCTTACTGGTACCTTTGAGTCTCCAGTAAATGAAGCAAAAACAGCATCTGTGGCAAGAGTGGCAGCCAAGGGAATAATCCCACCAGTCATCAGCTTAGCAAAGCACGCTATATCTGGCAGACAACCAAGTAGTTCGGCAGCAGTCTGGAAAAAGACAATCAGCAAATCAGGGAGTCATGATTGAAACAGAAGCAAAACAAATGGAATTAAATGCAAAAGCCTTACTAACCTCTACTCCCAAGCGCCAGAAACCAGTAAAAACTTCATCAAATATAACTGGAATTCTTCGACTTCGACACTCACTGACAAGTACCCGCTGAAACAGCGGATCAATCATATGCATTCCCCCGGCTCCTTGTATAACTAAATAGATAACCAATGAGATAGCTTGTTGAGTTCTAGCAAACTAGTATATATCAATAACAAGGAACAAAATTATTGCATATTCCACTTCTTAGATATGTCTTTTTCTAATTTCCAATGAAAACCTAAAACACCAATGGTTAACACATGACAGCTATACACAATCCAGTGTCCATTGTACCAAGAATATCCGGCGCAGAGCTATTTCAACAGGAAGAATAGTAAAGAAATATGATTAAAAGTAAAAATACATTGAAATGGATCAAACAGGAATTATTTTCTCTATAATAGGAATCTAAAAATTGGGAGCCTGCCAGAACGATACAATCTAGCCATAAACTTCTAAAACGAAATCAAAGAAAACCGACAAAATTTGCCTGGCCTACTCAACCATTTAATTTCACAGATGGTTAAGAAAACACTTAAGATTCATAACAATAAGATATGTTATGAAGACATGCATTTATTCACAGTTAGAATACAAAAAATGGTGCATGTAGGGATGTCCTAAGTAAAGGTCTTATGTTTCACAAAGATTCTATAAGTTGCAGAAAATATATTGGTTCAATAAGACATATGTACCCAGATTACCCTCCGTTTTTGCAAAAAGAAAGAACAAAGCAACAAAATTAGTCAGCTAATTATATTGATATCAACAATAGAAGTGAGTGCTCTAGGGGAATAGATACGAAAACCGAGAGTATATTTCATTAAGCACAATTAATTCTGCATTTATATGGATAAACAAATTACAAATAGAATCGTGCACAATTAATTCAAGCCAATAAACTGAAGAAAATGAATGATAATGATCATCACTTCCTTACGAACCTTACCTGGTTCTATGATCACTGCCCCAATATGGTTGAATCCTCTTGACCCAGAGTATTGAAGTAATTGCTGCAATATATACGAGGAATAACTTTTGGCAACATCAGATTTGTCCCTGCTCTTGTCAAAAATCTCAGCCTGGGTGCCAAAGGCTGAATGGTTGATACATTTTAGAGAAAGATAACCCAAAAGGGAATGAAGAATCAATCCATACAATAAGAGCAAAATAGATCTGGCTTACTCTTATCTGTAAGGAATATATTTTCAGATTTTAAACTTTCAGGTACCGAAAGAGTCCATATCCCATTGCACATTAAGACTGTAGGTGGATCCAGAAAGAGACCTCTTCCAGTATACCTGTCACAAACCACAAGTTCAGAGTACTTTTTGGGGGCTTGCTTTCTAATGTGTATTTGTAATTCATTCACAATATCATGAATCATGGCATAAGCTGCAGCTATCTTCCTTTGATCAGCAGCAACTATTTATTCTTTACCCAAAAAGGACACCAGACCCCCTCCCAACTCAAGCATATTTTCTTTACATTCCTTCTCCTACAGGTTAATTTATGCCATTCTATTGGATAGCCCTTTGCTGGAATAGTTGGCTCCATATCAAAAGTTATTTTGGCAATATATTTACCATCCTATAAAAAGACCAATGCTCATAATGTCTGCAAGATTTAGGCTGTTTATCATATTGAAATTTTTTTAGCCTTTTCTTTAAGGTTGTATGAGACCACTGGTGCTTATTCTCTAACTTTTCTTCCCGATAATTCATTTTTGGATTTAAGTTGTAATACAGTTTTTTCATTCATTTGTAAATGGAACTGAATAAAGAGATTAAGCATTTCAGACATTAGCCACTTTATGTTGCACCAATGTGTTGATCTAAAAGGAAATATTAGTCACAATATTTTGCCCTCTTCACTGAAATACTAGTTCCATCCCTACTCCTAAGAAGATTGTAGCAAACATCAGAAATGTTGATTTTGAAATATCTAACGCATCTGCATGATCCAGCAATCAGTCCTTGAAAATTTCTAGTCAGTGTCATTCTACAACTTTTTACTAAAATAAAAAATGCAAAGTTGTCTTAACAAGCACCAAAAGGATGCCAACCTGTCTACAAAATATTTACAATTCTAGCCAATATCAATAAGGTTCTCAAAATCCTCCATAAAGTAAAGGCGATCACCTAGAATCACACAACAAAGAATCTAAAACCATCTATTCCTAATCATCTCAAAATCCCAAATATAACTAACAACTTCAAAGTTCTCTTAGTCATCTCTTTCCAAATTACTCAAAAGATAGTAAATAGGATAAGGTCCACATATTTCCTTCGCCCAAAGATACCCTTTATTGCCCATAATTCATCCCTAACCGAACCAAGATATTGTGTATGCAGTGAGAATGATCAATCAGTTTATGCACAATCCTAAAGATTACACTTACATGCAACATACCAGGTACTACAGTATTTGAAGAGAACAGCCAGAAAGGTAATCTCATTTAGAAAGAACACCAACTACTAGTGGAAGTCTATAATGACGCAGACTATGCTGGATCAATGGTGGATAGAGAATCCACTACAGATTATTACACATTCCTAAAAGAGAACTTGGTCACATGGAGGAGTAAGAAACATAATGTGGGGGCACGATCTAGTGCTGAATCAGAATTTCGAACAATAGCTCAAGGGTTTGCAAATTGTTTCGGCCAGAGTTGATTTTGGAGACTTTGAGGATTAAGTGGGACAGCCCAATGAAACTATACCAATACAACAAGTTAGCAATTAACATTATCCATAATCCAGTATAACATGACAAAACAAAGCATATTGAGGTTGATGAGCATTTCATCAAGAAAAAATTAAATAGTGGTTTAATTTACATACCCCACGTGTCTATCAGCTCACAACTTACAAGCTTACCCCTAATAATAGACACTGGATCAGTGTTAAATTGCAGCCTTATAGACAAGGATCGATGCCGTAAGAGCGAGCTTCCAAGCTTACCCCTCGCTTTTTATGGCCCATTTGAGATCATTCAGAAGATAAGAGAGGCTGCACACTGGTTGGCCCTACCAGCTAGTTCTAGAATTCATCTAGTGTTCCATGTCTCCCAATTAAAGAAGTATTTCCGAGCAAGCAATTATACTTCCAAGAATTACCACAGTTGGACTGTGAAGGAGCTGAAGTCGTGTTACCTCACAAGGTTCTACAAATTAGAAAAAATTTCCAGAACAAAAAAAGAAGTTGAACAAGCCTTGATTCAGCGGACCAGCCAACTGTCGATGATTGTATATGGGAAGAAAATAATTTTTTGCGATAGTAACAATCAACCTTAAGGACAAGGTTGATTGTTATGAATGCATTTATACGCCCCAAATAAGATGTCGAAGTTCAATTAAATATAAAAACTTAATTAGTATTGGATTTCTGAACATGAAATTTTAATTAGTATTACATTTCTAAATAACATATGATTTTTTATTAATGTTGCATTTCTACATAGTATAGTATTTACAATATTTTAGTAGTATATTTTTAATTAGATTTATATTTTCAAATAGATTAAAAATTTTAAATAAGAATTATAATTTTTATATAAAAAGGTATATTTGTTATTAATAAAAATAAATCATAATATTATTTTAAAGTATGAGATTGGAGCTTTCTCTGACGAGATCCAAAGAAACAATTCTTTTTGATGAGCTGTAATCTATTTTTACAAAATAGATCATTCAAAAAAATCACAACAAAAAGAAAAAACAGATTCTGAAACCGAAAATTCCAGATGACCACCAAGTGACAAGATCATATTCTTGGGAACATACAAATTAGTATCAGAATCCAACACAATGGGCAATTCTGTAATAAAAGAAGATCTGCAATTAATACTCCAAGTCCTTGCCGCAAAGGAGGCACGAACTGCAAAGATTGAAAGATGAATGGGCAGTCTGTTACAGGAGTTATCCTCGCAATTTAAAGAAACACTGGTTAGCTTTAATTGTGACAAACAAACAACATCAAAAGGGACTGTAAGCAGCAACCACCCCTGGAAACAGCCACCTCAAGTGCTTCATACTGGAAATCAATCGGGAATGCAAACAACCATCCAAGTAACGGAGTCATTCCTGGCTACACTAAGTTAGACTTTCTAATGTTTGATGGCTTTAAAGATCCTCTAATATGGTTGCATTAATGTGAGAAATTTTTTGCCAACCAACACACGCCGAAAATGGATAAAGTGGGATTGGCCGCCTTCCATATACTTGGATGCTTGGAGACATGCAATTATGGTATCACCAGTTAGAATCTGAACAACTTATATTCAACTGAACTGAATTCAAAAACTATTGTTCTCTGATGTCTGGGCCGCAAGCCAAAAGTAACCCGTTAAGGAAACTAGTAAACTTAAAACATATGAGATCCATTACGGACTACCAGAGGTAGTTTCAAAAAAAACTGGTAAGTGTAAACAAGTTCGTTCAGGTTGATCAACATGTAAGTTTGTTCACAACAGGATTGATGGATTCCCTCTATTTAGAGATCGAGATGCAATCACCTATCACTCTTATACATGCAATGAATATGAGTAGAGTTTTTGAAAGGAAACAACAGTTGTGGGATATAATCGACCACAATTATAGTAACATTTCTTAATCCACGACAAAGCCTAACAATTCGATTCGAAAAACACCAACTCCATAGGGCAAAAACGTTATGATACAATCTGATAACATTTCATCTAAATTTATAAAAAAACTAACAAGAGCAGAGATGACAAAAAAAATGCTATAAGTGTTGTATTATAACTGCAATGAGCCATTTGTTTAGGGTCACCAATGTAAAAGGTTGTTTTGGTTAGAGATTGAACGTGACATTGATCCTGAGTAACAAGAAAAGATCGACAATTCAATTATATCTACATCTCAAGCTTGATGACAAACTTGAAGACTAGGAGAAAGTAATATTATGGATACATTTATAAAGTTTAAAAAAGAAGTTGAAGTTCAATTAAATATAGAATTCTAATTAATATTAAATTCCTAAATAACATGATTTTCCATTAGTATTGGATTTCTAAATAGTATAAGATTTTCAATATCTTAATAGGGTATTTCTAATCAGATTTACATTTCTAATTAGATTAAAATTGCTCAATAAGAATTATAACCTTTATATAAAATAGTATATTTGTTATTAATAAAAACAAGTCAGAATATTATTTTAAAACATGAGATTGGAACTCTCTCTAATAAGATCCAAGGTAGCAGCTCCCTTTGATGAGCTGTAATCTATTTTCACATAATATATCGTTCAAGAAATCACAACAAGAAGAATAAGCAAATTCTGGAACTGGAAATTTCAGATAACTACCCAAAAGTTAATTAGCAGTTGTTATTCTGTTAACAACTTAACCAAATTCACATCACTATATAAATTACTTCTTGTTATTAAAACAAAGCATGTAAGATTTTACTAAATGATAAAACATATCTCTCTCCTGATTTCCTTCCTTCTTATCTTCTATTCCCTATGTCTCTCTATCCTTATTCTCTTGCCACCCAGATCATTAGAGCGAATGTCCAAAGCTCTTGATAAAGGGCAAAAATGTACTTTACCTTATAATATCAATAACATCCCTCATATGCTAAAAATGTACTTTACCTTATAATATCAATAACATCCCTCATATGCTAGCTTAGCTCATAGGTCCCGTTACCACACTCACAAAATCGTGTAGAACTCAATTAACCGCCTCACTGATATAATTCTATCTCAATCAATTTAAAATAATTTTTACGAGTGATTAGACAACCAACCTACCTGAACAGATGAACTTTCAAAATTAGCACAGAACATCAAGTTGCAGGCTTACAAACATAAAATAGTAGTTTTGAATTATTAATTAAGCCTACCCCAAAAGCCCTAAGGAAATTTTAAACTTCTTTTCCACAGGTTTTATAATGAAATATCCTACCATGGCTGCTGGAGAAATCCAGTATAACATGATGGCGCTTGTGCTTCCATAGCACCCAAAGTGTCACCATGATAAGATCCTTTAAGAGCTAAGACCTGAGACAATAATTCCCACCAAGTTAATAGCAATCAAAACAACTACAGTAGCATTTAGAAGAAGGATTGCACTGAGTGAAACTACATTTTTTTGGTCCTATCATCAGAATTTGAAAATCACACCAGAAATTTTATTTCTACACTATATAAATATACTGGCATTATTTGATTAGGCACTGGAATTTCCAGAAAAGATCCTTGCCACATTTACTTCTACATTGAGAGAGAGAGAGAGAGAGAGAGAGAGAGAGAGAGAGCGTGCAAAATTACATTTTTATGAGTTTCTAAAGAGAGATTAAAGCAGATGCAAATATGACATGGTATCACGAGCACAGCATTTACTAAAGTTACTTTGTCATATTCAATGCACAAGTTTACTTCACATACAAAAAATGCATCAATCCCACTATGGTTACCAATCTGACATGGGCCTTGCCCTAATGGTCAGTCCTCACTCCTCCCAACCCTACAAGCTGGATGAGCTAGTCTGTAAGTTCTACTCCTACTTTATATATGGATCACAGAGGAAATGAACAATCTGGGAAGAAAATGAAGAAAATAGCAGATAGCCAACCTTTAGCTCAATACATTTTTCCTCTCTGTTCTCGTTCTTATGAATATCTGACAGGATTCCATGGTCAGAAGAAAATTTCCGAAATGCCATCTTTAGAGCAACTTCAATTGCTGTAGATCCATTATCTGAAAAGTATACCCGAGAAGCCCAACCTGCAAGTTGTACTAGCTTAGCATTGTTTGCGGGAGCATGAAAAAAATATAAATGCAATTCAAAATAATAGTAATATGTCATATCTAGGTTCTAGCAAGAATAAAGTGATGCCATCAGAGTAAAGATACTGAGTGCTATACTTTAACAGATTAGCAAACTAAAGAATGCAAGACAAACAAAGAGTAAGACTCCAAGAAGCCAAACTTATAGATTATTGGACATGTAAGATGAGAGCATAATTTTTTTTAATTTGATTAAACTCCTATATTGTTGGAATTTTTATCTTAGATTAGGTGAAATTTTTCAAAACAATTCACTTAACTTCAATATAAAATAAAATCAGCATAACATCTCTTCCAATCTTTATCTCATTTCTATTATATCTATTGGAATTCAGTAAAATTAGCATTTAATGAAAAAGCAAGATCTCAATAGGAATTCAATAGAAACACATATGAGAAATCACCCGAAACATATAACCACAATCAACCTCACTTTGGCTGAACTTGAAATCCAATAAAATAGTAATTCAGAATTTGTCAATCAGAGGTTCATAATCTTGTTCATAAGCCCTCAACAATCTAATTAATAATAGATAAAGTTCAAAAAACAATAGTTAACTAGAATTAGTGACCTTTCCCAACACCCTCAAGCAAAAGCTCTGCACATTTTAGAGCTGGTTCATAGGCATTCTCAGGGAACATAACGTGCCCAAATCTTGCAGCAGTATAACCCATTTCTCTTGCGAGCTCAATCTGAAACCACCTAACCAAATATTCACATTAAAGCAGACATTCAGGGAAGCAATAACCTTGGAGAAGATATGAATGAGGTACATTATAAACTGAACAAAAAGTACCCTAGTTGACAAAAAAAAAGTCGTGCTAAAAGGATGACCTGTAATGCATAATCTGGTCCTTGAGTCCACCAACTTGCACATGCATCAAATACTTGAACCATGGAATTACTTTGAACCTGTAAAAGAGGTAGAAAACGAGAGTAGTTAATTGATAGATAGATCGATTACATTCATAACAAGACGTTCCAATAGAGACATTAATATATTAGGGTAGACAACTTAAAAGTGAACATACATGCTCGCTCGCATGTAAATGCAGAGGACATATATCAGACAAAAGAATAACAGTTAACGAGTAACAAGTGAAATAGCACCTTATAGACTGCAAAATTTTCACCACAACGCGAATCTATTACTGTAACAGTTTCTTCTGGTACAAGAGTGTGCTGGGTAAACGGCCACCAAAACACCTGTCCTGCCCGCTTTGGCACTTCACGTAATCTTCCTATTCTTTCTGAATAAGCTGATAGCATGATCTCTTCTAACGATTTAAATACATTGCGAGATTCACCAAACCATTCGGACAGGTCATCTGAGGGATCCTCTGGAACATGTGGAAGCACAAGCACCGGCACTCTAGAAATACAGCAAGAAAATATGAAAATTTAAAAAAAGATGACATAATAAAAATCGCAAGAATAAGAGATTAAGTGCAAGAGAAAACGAAGTTAACTGAGCTACCTATTTCGCAAATATGACATTAGTGGCCTCTCGTTACTAAGGCCATGATCTTCAAAAACAACAGCAACAACGTCATACCCTCGAAGCTTTAAGCTCTCATAAGCCGAAATGGTTCCAGATATGCCACCAAGTTTTCCATCACCAACAAGAACGCCGGGTAGCCGGAAAGGCCTGCTTGGAAGTTAAACAGAAAGATAAGCATGAAACAGAAACGCTGCAGCAAAGCACTCCTAATTTACTGAATATAAAATCTATGCCTGTTCGTTATTCGAAATGCTTCTTCTTCTTGACAATATAGTCGTCCACGTACCGATATAAATCACATTGAAGAGTTCCAGAGGGACCTGGACTTGCAACCCCGCCAGCAGTCTCCACGACGCACAAAACCTCTCTTCCTTCGTCTTGATTTCCACTCACCATTCCTTCTCTCAAGCAGCTTTCCAGCATCGCAGCCACAGCAGAATCCCCCACCATCGCATCCTCCCTCTCCGCAGCCAAATGCGGCGACACTGCCTCCTTCCATGCGTACAGCGTCTTGCAGACCAGCTCCGACGTTGCCCCCGAGAGGCGCCTCTCCTCGTAAAAATTCAAATCGCAAATCCCTGAGCTGCGCTCCTTTCCGTCAGCGAGGAGAGATTCAGCTGCGGACATGGAGGTTTTGAGGACGGTATTGGAAAGAGAGAGGGCAGTATTGTGACGGAGGGAGAGGGATGAGAGTTTGGAGAACAGAAAGCGAGAGTCAGAGTCGGAGGGGAAGCCGGTTTGGACAGGTTTGATGTAAAAGAATTTCCTGGCCGATGAGGAGAGGAGAAATGAGGAGGCGATACCGGTGGAAACTAGGGTTTTCCCGAGGGATGTGTTGGCGGACCAAACAAGATAGCTGGGATGACATAGTGGAAGGTGAAGCGACGGCGATGTAGTGGTGGAGAAACCGTGGTGAATGTAGAGGAGGCGGCGGCGCAGAAGGTGGTGCTGGCGGGGAAGGAGCAAGCCATTAAGTCCTAGCATGGTAGTTGAGGGTTAGGCAGGTAGGCTCTAGTGGAGAGAACAATTAAGGGAAGGGTAGTTGTGTTCTGTTCTGCGCGCATTGGTGATGATGACTGAACTTGGAAGCTTTTTAGATGTTTTATGGAGGGAAAAGGACAAGTGTCGCTCAACAAATCATATGGAACCAGCTTGCGGAAATTACAAAGTACATTTCTTAGGCTCAAGGCCCAATGGGCCTCAACGAGTTTGGCCCCCTAGGTAACGATAATTGAAATAAAAAATAGCATTCTAACTGCCCGTTTCATTTGCATTTGAATCAGTCAGTTATAGCCACGGCCAATAATTGCGAAAGAGGATTATTACACAATCTTAATTTGAGATAAGGAAAAAAATAAAAAATAACTGAAGGCCTCAAAAATTGAGGGTAAAAATATAAAGAAAAAAAGGCCGAATGTTATATATTTTTACATAAATTTTTAAATGATTTATATATTATATAAAATTATTGCTAATACATATGTTTTTAATAATAATTCTGTTGTGCAGAAAATTTATATCATTAACAGTAGTATAAAAAATATAATTTAGTTTATTTTTCTATAAGAGTATAAAAAAATTTATTCTTTTTTTAGAATGAACTAGTCTAACATAAAAAATGGAATTTCTTTTCCATTTTTAGAATTAGTTTTGAACAAAATATGAACCTAAAAAATTAAATTGAACAAAACAATAAACTTGGCCCATTTTATCAGCTCAATTCACCATGGAGAGATATAGAGAATATATATATATATATATATTATGTTTGAAATAAGCTTAAATTACATAATATTATCATTTTTGGATATAATTTAATATATAAAGAATTTGTAGGAGATAAAAATTATACTCGATTTTTTAATACAAAAAGAAAAGAAGACAATTATTAGGACCAACAATGAACTTTTTGGTTGTTCTTCTTATAAATTATAAGGTATTCTTGTTATTGTTGTTAATCATCGATAACCATCAAGAAAAGAAAGGAAACGGCAGAGCACCCGGGGAAATGACTACGAATTTTAGTTTAATCATTTTCAGATTAGAATAATTTCTCATTTGTCCGATTAATTAAATTTAATTACGAGGACGAAACAAAAACTGACGCTGAAGAACAGTTGTTTCAACATTCGGAAATCCGGATTACTTCCTAAATAAATCATCATCGCTAAACCAGACTCCATTCACCGAATCAACAGAAAGGAAGAAGAATTATTAGAGAGAGAAGAGAGAGAATAAACGATTTTTTTTTTTTTTAAAAAAAAAAGAAATTGGAGAGATAAGGCAGAGAAATGTCATTTAAAAGACGGGGCTGGTCCGATACAACTCCTCTGCTCGGCACACAGCAACGTTCCCTTTCCTTCAACTCGTCATATTCCTCTTCCCACCGCTCAGCCTTCTCCGTCGAGATGACTTCGAGCACAGAGACGGCTATCATTCCCATTCCTTCCCGCTCCGTCTTTCTCGGCGTTGACGTCGGAACCGGCAGCGCCCGTGCTGGTCATTTTCCGCTCTTTCTCTACATGCTTGTTACAGGTTATGCATATGTATGCATGTATGCATACACGTATCCATGAGCTATGGATGTATTTACATGCTCGATGAGGATCTGGAGGTCATCGGTTGTGTTATATCATCTTAGTAGCGACCTTGGATTGTATGTTGATACATAATGGAGTATTGATTGATTACTATCATATTGCTTACTGATCTGTCTGTTTTTCTTTCCAGCTTGATATGTTAATCAGTTTTGATGGACTAATCCTTGTGCTTTTAACTTCTATTTGTTTGTTGATTTTGTTCATTATGTTTTGTTGTTTATTGATTTCTACGCATTTTTTGCTTCAAGCAATGCTGGATATCTTAAATTTGGATAAGACTAAACCGAGTGGTTGAATTTCCGTTGTTTATCTATTTCTATTTTGTTGTTGTTGTAGCTCTCTTTCTCTCTCTCTCCCTCTCCTTCTCTCACTCGGTTTCTTTATGTTTTTTTACTACATATATATGAATGCAGTACCTGCCACAATATTGAACACATTTGTTGATTCATTTTGTGTGAATGTTAAAATTAAATGAAAAGGAGAAAAGAAATATCGGAGGAAAAAAAAACAAGCGACAGGTATAGTGTTTGAATCAAAAGGTATTTCACTTATAAAAGCAGGGATTGATTTCCATAAATACAAGTTCAAAAATAATATATATTTTCAACTGTATATTTTGAAATTCAAATGAAGGAAGGATGAGGATAAGATTAGTTTGAGAACAAACCTTCTAGCAACTTAAGTGTCTAGTAGGTCTCTGGATTTGACTGTCAAGAAGACCAAGTTGGGACGCATGGACTGTAGCTGTTGTTTTGTTTGTGGTTTACTTATAAATCTACAAGTTAGTCTTTGGATGATATATGGGACGCTTGAATCATGCCATCTTCAACTTGTTCTTGGACGAAGAAATGTGCTTGCATAAAACTAAAAGGTTCCTGCATTATAACAGTGAATAGTTTGGGCCTCTTGTAAGGTGGAAGCCAAGTTCATTGAGTAATAATTGTAGATAGAATAGTTTACCGGTGGTAATTGCAATAGAGCATTACTTGGCTTCTGTGGAGGAGGAAGGAACTCTTTTCTGCTTTTGGCAATTCCATGAGACTGGTGGAACCTAGTTAGATGGCGTATCCAGAGGCTGAGCAAAGAAAGTTTCTGTCCAATCAGCAAAATAGTTACTGGGTAAGGACTTTGTGACTGAATTTGTAGTCCACACATGACTGTGCCTTTAAGGTGTCCGAACAGGAGTTTTGCAGCTTGTCAGTAGGAGGAAGACTTGTTCATTTAGTGAGCTAGGTGGTTGACAGTGAAGGCAATATCAGGCTTCATGAATGCTATACATTGGAGTGAGCTGTTGATGCTTCAGAATTTTGTTGCCGCAACAAAAGGTGTGTTGTTATTGAGAGTCAGAGGAGGTGACAGAGACATGGGAGACCCAACGTTTTTTTCGAGAGCATGTTTGTCCAAACTAGATGATTTCTTATGGATTTATGTTGATTGAGAAACAACATAGTATAATTTCTTGTCTTTTCCACAAGCAGGAAGCATTCAAGGTTAGTTAGATCCTTGAGGGAGAACTAAAAGGATAAGGTAACCATGAACTCATAGACTTGTTCTTCTTACTATTGCTTGTGCATTAAGTCATGAATCATATGGTAGGCTGTCATTTGGTGATTTGAGTAGTTAAATAACAACAATTAGAAACTAAAAGATAACTAAAACACCCTTAGCAGTTGGCACCATGCTCTTGGGCCCTGTTTGAGGCTCTATGCTGAGTTTATGGGTCTCCACAAGTGAAAAAAGTTCATTTCATCTGGAACTAGGTGGTTCAGATGTATTCCTCATTCATTCAGGGAGCCATTTAGGTTGATGTCAAGCTGCCAAATGTTCCAATTGTTTGAGATGGCAATGTTAAGAATAGTCAGGATTGTTGTTTGCTGAACAAGAGGATCAAATATGTCAGATTAGGCCACACCAGGAGTTTGGTGAAGCCCCTTGGTGACTAATCTAGCTCTGTGTCTTGCTATGTTCCTGACTGAGTATCTTTTGATTGGGAAGCACGTCTGCCCTTTGGTTGCTTGTGGGGTAGTAGGCATACATTTTTCCACGTATCCTTTTAGAAAGACCATTGAACTCTTCCATGAGGACTGCACACCAGTAAGGATCAGCTAAGGCTTGGGTAATTGTAATTGGTGGGACTCAACAAGTGATTGCTTGGTGGTGATATGGATGAGCTTTGCTGCTTTGGTTTAAAGATTTGTTTTGGGCCTATGTAACTGTCACACTGGTTCAATGCGGGAAATGGCAGGTGAGTTTGAGGTGGGGAAAGCAGGAGTTAAAGGGAGCAAGGCACAGGTTGGATCAGTTGGAGAAATGGAAGGCAAATGACAGACTTGAGTGGAGTCATGACTTTGTTGTGGCTGTTCCAATGGTTTTAACAGACTTCATAGAACATTTGGTAGTTAGCATTGACCAAAAGGTTATAGACTGTTTCTAGGTGAAGGAAGACTCAGGAGGTGGATCAGGTTGGATTGGTAAGGCATAAGTTTGAACCTAGTTGCTTTAGGCGAAAGATGTCTCATCAAGCTATGCCTGGAACTGTAACTAAAGAAAGAATCAAAAAGTAGTAGGTGCTTTAACTTTTGAAGTGGCCAAGGAACAAGCAATGAATAAATTTGCAGTTCATTTCGTGACTTACATGGGGTTTAGCCAAGGGTAGCAGAGACATTTTAAAATCCTTGGCTTATCATAGGTGGGTGGTGAATCAAATAGCTTTTAATCAGGAGATAGAATGGATGGTTATGAGATAGGCTTCTGGTTGATAATAGAAGTGGCTGCTTCAAAGGCATAAGACAGAAGTGGGGTGGGAGGTAGGCCCGGCATAGTAAGTTGAGGATAGTTTCAACATTGTCCTGGTGTTTTATTTGGCAACACCATTTTACTGAGGTGTATGATAGGGAGTTAGTAGATGAGTAATTCCTTTTGGATTCAATGAATCGTTTTGAGTTTTTTTCTCCTCTGTCTCCATCTATAAAAAGCCTTTTAATGGTCTAGCAAAGAAATCCCGACAATCAATTTGAATTTTGGAAAGATTAAGAGACCTTGGATTTGGTATGGAATGGATAGAGCATGTGTATCTAGACTAGATTAGCAATTTGGTTGGATTCAAGAAATTGTTTAAGTTTTTTCTTCCATTGAATTTGAGAAATTGTTTTAAGTTTTTTGTCCATCTCCATCCATAAAAAGCCTTTTAATGGGTTTATCAAAGAAATTTCAACAGTGGAATTAAATTTTGGAAGGACCAGAGGACCTTGGATTTGGTTTGCAATGGATCTAATGGGTATATCTTGAGTAATGGTCAACAAAAAAAAATTAATATTTATATTTATTGAAGGAGGTAACAAGAGCAGGTCCAATACATTTGAAAAAATAAAATCTAGAGGAGAACTAGTAGTTGAGGTGTTGGATCCAAAAAAAAGCTTGTGGCTCTTGACAGGCTTACAAGCTGGACTAAGTTTCTACATAGCACAGGCAGGGTTATGGCAAGGTGAAGAAGGACATATTGATGTATTCCTAGTCACTTGTGCCAGAAAGCACGTGTGGATGCAGTAGTGACAAAGGCTGGTGCATGTGAAGCAGAATTGTCCTGGGGCCATTTTTATTTGCCCCTCCTTCACAAGGAAAAAAAGGGAAAGAATTCAATGGAAACTTAGTTAGCATCGTAGAAGCGAGAAACAAATACTATACTTCAACAAAAGAAGGTTAAACAGAGGACATCATTCAAAACTAGAATCTAGTGAGTTAGAAAGGTAGAACCAATGTAAGTAATGGGTAAACCTGAACCAAGAAGGGATTGATCCCTTAAGTACAAGCTACATGATAGTGTATATTCTGAACTGTTGCAAATGAAATTCAAATGACAGAAGGATGAAGATGAGGGTAGGTTGAGAAGTAATCTTCTGGCATCCTAAATTCTCTCTCCAATAATCAGTGTATTGGCTGTTGTATTTCTTGAGATCAGAAATCTGAAAAAAGACTTTGCTTTCTAGTGTTAGATCTTATCATAGAATTTCAAGCATTATCCTGAAATTTGTTTGCATTCTTATCATTTTTTAAGCATTTGTCATTTTCCTGTTCATGGTATTAGTATTTTGGAACCATAAATATGTTTTAGTCGTGTGCATCTTCTCAATGTCTTGTTGCATGATGCAGGTCTGTTTGATGACAAAGGAAAGCTTCTAGGCTCTGCCAGTAGCCCAATACAAATATGGAAAGAGGGTAACTGTGTTGAGGTAAATATAGTGTAACATCAATTCATATCCTGGAGAAAGACAGTGGCTTAATTCGTTAATGCTAGGTCAAGATTGAGATTCTTAACTATTTGGGCTTATCAATCCTGTTTGTTACTGAAATAGCAATCATCAACTGATATCTGGCATGCTATCTGTGCGGCTGTGAAATCTGCATGCTCTCTCGCAAATGTTGATGGGGAAGAAGTGAAGGGTGTGGGATTTGCAGCTACTTGCTCACTAGGTTTGTGATTTTGAAAAGCTATCTCCTCTTCATGATTGCACATGAGTAAAAAACATGCATCGGTTGCACACAGTATTTGATTTGAAAACTTAGCTGCCTATATTTGTACATTCAACTGAAATGGCTTCTCTTTGCAGTGGCAGTGGATGCTGATGGCTCTCCTGTAACAGTTTCTTGGAGTGGTGATTCAAGAAGAAACATTATAGTGTGGATGGATCACAGAGCTGTAAAGCAAGCCGAAAGGATTAATTCCTGTAACTCACCAGTATTACAGTATTGTGGCGGAGGTGTCTCGCCAGAGATGCAACCACCAAAGGTGGGTGAATGATCAACAACCTATGGAGTCAGGTCTCTCTTGTTTTTCACCTCATATCTCCCTATGCTGGAATCAGTATGCTGCATTTCATTAAACTGAAAGTGAATAAAATAACTCTTTTTTGCTGATGTTATATTGCAAAATGTGAGAATAAAATGGAGTTTGGTTGCTTGTCATGGCATCGGAACTTTCTTGACTGAGGCTTGGACAAAACAGATGGCCCCAATATACAAATTACTTTTTGAAAATGATTTAAATGAATTTGAGGATGTTGGTTGTGAGGATTGCCAATTGGCAATAGCCAACCAAACAAGACCATCTGAAAGTTGAAACTAATTTTGTACGTTCTACTTGTTGTTTCCTCATATCATCACTGAGTCTCTCGGTTTTATCAATTATTTTTTGGGTGTTGAACTCTGATAGAATGAATGATCTATATCGGAGCTGGTTCTCTGTGGATTATGCTGATTAGAGTATTTTTGCAGCTTTTGTGGGTGAAAGAAAATCTACAAGAATCTTGGTCAATGGTATTTAGGTGGATGGATTTGAGTGATTGGTTATCATATAGGTACTTTGAATAGGTCAATAACCCATTATCCTGTTGATGTTCTTGAATAATTACTATATGAAAGTTAAGTTAATCATTGCATTTTGTATATATTGTGAATTAATGAATCCCCTATAGGGCTACTGGAGATGATACCCGTAGTCTTTGCACCACAGTGTGCAAATGGACATACCTTGGTCATGCACACATGCAACGGATGGGCGAAAAAGATTCCAGGGACATGGAAGCTTGTGGATGGGATGATGATTTCTGGGAGGAGATTGGCTTAGGTGATCTTGTAGACGGGCATCATGCTAAGATTGGTATGCTTCCTAAATCTCTTTTTTTCTTCCTATACATTAGGTGGTTTGATATTTACTATACACATAGTTGCTATCCTTTGATTTCCTCACAAGCAATTCTTAATGAATATCAATAATTTAAGTTTTATAAATAAAAAAATCACCTTAGTTTCAGTGGCATATTTGATTTTTCATTCTCGTCATCTTAATATTTAATTGGTAGATGCTGACAGTTCTTTATTTCCATTTTCTCATATTTTAAGGAAGCTCATTTATTTCATATTATCAGTTACTTGAAACTGTCTTTTTTAGATAAAGAGAAAGTAGTTTTAAAAGGCACCTAGCGCTGCCATCTGATTAGGAGAGGCAGTTACAAAAGATTGCATAGTTATTGATCTTATCATTTTTAATTGGTTTGTCGATTGTTTACTTGGTGCTAAAATATTGTTGATTTGGGAAACATTTTTTATAAACGAATGAGTAAAAAATGGATGCTAATAAAATGGTTGTCATTCTCAATTATGTTTGTCTTCCCATAATCTTACAGTGAACTGTGTTATCATCATATGAAAATGATGACACCAGATGCTATAAATGGACAGGAAACAACCTGATCTTCACTGTAAATTGTGGCCAGATACAACTGAAATTCACTTTGTTTAAGGAATGTTGAGAAGTAAAACAGAAAAATAACTCAAAAAGTATACTGGCGTCATATCTGGAGTGATATTTGATTTTGATTAACTATGAAAACTTAAGCAAGAGACCATAACCAATACAGATGTACTATGATCTTAGATATTTTCCTTTTCTTTTCGTCTACAGCTTTTCATACAAAATCCTCTCTAGGCCATCTCCAAATGTGTGATAAAATTTTGACAATGATTAGTTGGTTGGTATTTTGACATTTCATATTTCTTATCTTCTATTGTGATGTATAACCTAAAATTTTGATGTTGACAGGAAGAAGTGTAGCTTTCCCTGGCCATCCATTGGGTTCTGGTCTTACCCCTACTGCTGCGAAGGCAAGAAATTTTGTACTGAAGAAATTGATTTCAAGTGGCGCTCCCTTGAGGTCCATTAACAGAGAAATACATTTATTTAGATATAAGAATGCAAAAACATCCCTTTTGTGTGGGGCTTGGAGGGTGGTTCTACTTATTCTCGATACTTTTCTTTCACTAATTTTTTTTAAAAGTGACTTCTGTATAGGAACTAGGTCTGGCGGCAGGAACCCCTGTTGGAACTTCTCTCATTGATGCTCATGCCGGTGGTGTTGGGGTAATGGAAAGTGTGCCCGATTTAGATCCTGAGAATAAAGGTGACTGATATTTAGAGAGAAAAATGAAAATTGAATATATTTCTTCTCATTTCCAATCAGTTGCTTGCCTTAATGACAATTTGCTGAAATTATTAATGTGATGTATGTCCAGAGTTGGATAAGGAAGCTATTTGCCACCGCATGGTGTTAGTCTGTGGAACATCTACTTGCCATATGGCTGTATCACGCAACAAGCTGTTTATTCCAGGGGTCTGGGGACCATATTGGTCAGGTAGGCTTACTCAAGATTTATCTTAACTTCTCCTTTTAGATTCATTCAAAGGCCTTCAGGCCTGGCTTGATTACCTTTTTATGGATGGAAGTAAAGCTGCATAAGCAGATGCAAAATAAAAAATCCTTATTCTTTCTGTTTTGGTTCCCTTTTCTGAAACTTGAATATCCGGCTGTCTTTCATTTCATATTTACCCATATTTTTTGTTAATATACACTTCACCAATGTGTTAATACACACTTTATGCTTTTTATTTCAAAAAATTTTCCTATATTTTTGTTGAGTCTGATGACTTCTAGCATGTATTGGTAAATTTCAACTGAGCAACTAATAGATCCCTGCCCTTGCTTTACAACTTATACTAATGTCTAATGGCATTTGGAAGAGTTTACCTGCATGGTTTTCAGATAGTATTACTGATAATAATCTTCTGCTTCTCTATTTAGCAATGCTACCTGAATACTGGCTGACAGAAGGCGGGCAGAGTGCCACAGGTGCTTTATTGGATCACATAATTGAAAATCATGTTGCTTCTCCTCGCCTTGCAAATCGTGCTGCCTCTCAAAGTAATTAATTGTTACACTCTATTCTCCTCCATCTTTTTGTGGAAGTATTAACTATTTGATTCAGTAACTTCAAATTTTGTAGTTATGTACAAGTTGCTTTTCTTCTTTATAGATTCACCTTTTTAATTTTATTAAGGTTTTCTGTCTTGCAGATATATCTCTGTTTGAACTACTGAACAACTTATTGAAATCAATGATGCAAGATACAAAATCACCATTTCTTGCTGCTCTGACTAAAGATATACATATTCTTCCTGATTTCCATGGGAACAGGTATATAATCAAGATATTGATTCCAGACTTTGTAAGCCATGGTTTCTAGTTTGCCATGAAACTAACCTGTCATGTTTTTATGGCACAGATCTCCCCTTGCAGACCCAAAAGCAAAAGGTGTAATATCTGGCTTGACACTTGATACTAGTGAGATACAGTTGGCTCTTTTATATCTTGCCACAATGCAGGGAATTGCATATGGGACACGTCACATTGTAGAGCATTGCAATGCCCATGGTCACAATGTAAGTGTGAATCTCATTTCCCAGATGCATGTAATTTTTTTCACGTTTGGTCTTCATGAACATATATTAATGTTATGCACATATATCTCAAACTTCTAGAACTTGCTTACCAAAAAACATATTGTGCTATGAAAGGAAAAGTTCTTTGAATTTAATAATTGACAGCCACAAAAATGTTTCAGAACATAAATTACAACTTATGAGCTTCACATACTTATGTTTAAACCATTCTTCTGTATATGCTTTCTGCTTAATGAAAATGTCCAGCTGAGCACATGATTTGATTGTAATTTATTTGCTCCAATCAGGCTCTACTTTGACAAAATATTGTTAGCCTCTCTTTTTAGTGTGTCGAATATATGTTGCACTTATACATAGTAATTATGGTTAACTTGCTTAACTGTAAGTTGATGTAGGGATAATCTTGTGTTTTTCAACGCCGACAAAAGTTAATGCCATACTGATTGTAAGACTAGATTGACTGGAATCATTTTAGGCATAACCATCTATTTCTTATTCTTGGACTTGCAAAACTTCTATGAAATTTCTCATTTCTCAGTAGTTATCATCTTTCTGTCTTTCATTATAATTAGCTTTCTTCCCTTCTGATCTCAGCAGTCTCTACCTCCTTATCTGTGGTTTGTCTTATTTTTAGGTGAAACCGGCCTAGAGGCTGGTTTGACCCAGAAATAACCGAGAATAGTGTTTGTTTTGCACGCTTCAACTCATAAGCCGATGACTTAAAGTCAAGATGAAAAGCTAAAAAACTTGGGCCCTGTTTGACACATGAAAGTATTTTTCAGTTCTCATTTTCTATTATATATATTTCATTCATAAAAACATTTAGATCATGTAAACACTTGCATAAGCACATATCATGTTAGAAAATGAAAACTAGAGAATCTTTTCATGTATAAGTAGAGTCCTTTTTTTCTTAGGTTTGTAAACCAGGTGACAAGGTCTATTTTGTCTTTTACACTTTCTACCAAAATTCTTATTTATATGTCTTTTTTATTCATTTTATTGAAATTTAATTTAAGAACACTAATTTACCAAAAATTATTTGAATAAAGTTTAATAAAAAAATATTAACCAAACATTTTTTTTCGTTATTTTTCAAAAACTTAAAAGTTCTAAACTGAAAAAGAAAAAAAGATTCAAACCAAATAACCTTATTACTAATTTCTCTCCACATTCGAAAAAATATTAGTCCTGCAACTCTGTTTATCATGTACAAATAAGCTTTGGAAAAGCTATTTTCATAATGATTATATACTAAGACATGTACACGAAGCTTTGGATATACGTAATATTCTGTCTTTGCATACCTATATGCCTGTGAACTAAGATGTTTCTTGGTTATTGCAGCTTTGTGTGTCACCAATGAGCCTATGCTAAAATCTGTTCCTTATTGTTTTCTTATTGGCTGGGCAGATAGATACATTATTGGCATGTGGTGGCCTTTCAAAGAACCCTCTATTCATGCAAGAACACGCGGATATAATTGGTATCTTTTCCTACCTTGCTCCCTCACCCTTCATTATCTATCTTCATTTGTGTGGGTCCTCCTTTTGGAAGAGATCAGCATAACTTTTGTGTATGCTTTTGTTCGTCTTTTATAAGATTTAATGCTCTTATCTCATTAATAAAAGTGTCAGTGGAACTCATTACTGGACCTTTGATCATGTTCGAACAGTCTATTCCTTGTACAAGCTCATTGTGTTGAATATTCTATCTGCTTTCATCTGGGTGTTTCAAATTTTATGTTCTTCAAGTAAAAAGTATAATATGGAAGTCTGTTTTAAATTTCTGATTTCCATGAAGATATCCACTAGGTATAGTAATATACCCCTTGTTATACAGTTAAAGCTACATACTTCCTGTGGAAGACGATAAGAGAACAAAAACTGCAGTTGGTCCCCTCATTTTTGAGTAGGAGAGAAGGAGGGGGGGAGGGGGGATCTTTAGGGTTCCTCTAATTTTGATTTTGTATGATGAGAGAGAGACAGAGAGGGAGAGAAAGAGGACATTAAAGTTATGAAGGTGGTAATCTATCAGTAACGATAAAAAAATCTAGCTTCTGCCTATTAATATGCACTTTGCTAATAGATAGTTCCTAGAAGTTGTGTGCCACCATTATTGGTTGGGAGGTATAACTTCCGGCCTAAGATAAATAAATAAAATTCATTTCTAAATAAGTTTGTTTTTTCCTTCCTTGTTAGGTAAATGTTATTAGCATGGATGGTGTTTAGAATTTTTAACTTAGCTTTCTAATTATGTCTTGGACCATAGTAACAAGTACTTAGCAGTTTACTCCTACAATATCCTAGATCACTCTTTTCTTGTATCTTTTTGCGTTATATAATTTATTTTATGATATGAGCCAATGTTTGTACGTTATCATATTCTACAGACATCACTTGTGGAGTACAATAGAGTTTTCAAGCTTGAAGTTAGTGCTTTGCACTTATAGGCCATTTAATATTTCTCTCAAGTCTGACTATTCTTGTGGAGACATGAGATTCACTTTGGCCTTTTCAGCACTTCTGGTGCATGTTGACAATGCTTTATCTTTCATCTACAACTGGTACAGGTTGCTCTATAATACTTCCACGAGAAAGTGAGTCTGTGCTCTTGGGTGCTGCAATTCTTGGCACTGTTGCTGCAAAGAGATATCCCAGTCTCAACAAGGCAATGAAGGCACTGAATGCAGCTGGTCAGGTATGTGTATGATCTCTGTTCATTTTAACATCAATTCATTTACTTGCTTTGTAGGGTTGATGAAGTGTTAAGAATATGCATTAAAATGCGCATAAATGATTTTTTTTCTAAAAAAAATAAAAATAAAATGATAAAATTGATTCACAAGTATCAAGAGAGTGCAAACTTATGGACAAAAATATTTATATATCAACCAATATATCAATAAGATCCTCAAAATCCTTTAGTAAATAAAGAGGATGACCCATAATAAAAAACTCAGAATCTGGAACCTTTTAATTTTTAACTCTATGAAAGACATCTTCCTTCCCCTCAAAAATAGTGAGGGGAATAAGACTAAAATGTTTCTTGATTCCTATCATGCTCAAATTTCTTCTCTCATCAAATCAGTTATCACCTAATTGATCCTAGTAGTCCATAGGTGAGGTTGTACTAATTATATGCAAATGGATACCATAGAAGAATGTGATTGCATTAATTTGCCTTTGTTTTTGCATGAAAACACTAATTCACCAATAATTTTTCCCCCTGATCAGCTTATCAAGAGAAAGAATACACCTTCAGCTTGCCTCCTAACAAAGAAAGCAACTCTAGATGGAGCAGTAACATTTCAGATTTTCCAATAGGGAAAACTGATGTCCATGGTATCACCTTTAATCAAATGTTTATAGAAAGATTTGACTAAAAAGAACTCTTTAGCATTAAGTCTCTAAATTGGTTGATCATCACTCCAGTTAATTGTAGTTGTAGTAAGAGTACAGATGAGAGTCTCATAATCTTTAACTTCATAGTTATTAATGTTTCTTACAACTTCCGCACTCCGCTCCCTTCCTCCCCTATGGCACTATAAGACTCATGAATCAAAATATTCTTGTACTGCGTACCAATATCAAATATTTGGAAAAATTATTCTTTAAGTGGCCCTTCCTTTAACAAGGCATCATGCCAAAAGCTAACCTGGTTCCCAGTTCAACCTTCCAACTAATATACTATTGAAATTTATTCCTGCACATGCATATTCTTTTCCACATCCCCTTCCCTTGGGGTCTAGACAGAGCCTCATATACCATCTGCTATCCATGGTCCCAAAATTCGCCTCTATCACCCTCCACCATAGACTACCATTTTCTTTCATGAATCTCCAAAGTCATTTCCCTTGTATAACCATATTCACCTCCAACTAAAGATCTCAAACCCAACTCTCCCTGATACGTAGGCTTTTTAATCTCATTCCACACTACCATATGATATTTTTTAATTTCCTTTATACACCCCATAAGAATATACATAGAATTGATTCTAGTTTCTTGGCTACATTATCAGGGATTGTTAGTAAGAACATATAATAAATGCGACTATTGGTCACCGTGCTTTTTATAAGTGTAAGTCTCCCCACTTTAAATAGGAGATTTATCTTCCATTTGGCCAATATCTTCTTAAACCTTGCCACTACAAGATCCCAAGTCGCTATATCGTTATATTTGGCCTAATGGTATCCTCAAGTTTTTGTTCAGCAAATCAATGCTTCAACACTCCAAAATCCTTGCAGGCCTGGTAGCATCCCTCTTATCACTCAGTGCTGCTAATTTTGACTTGGTTAGAATGATATTGAGTCCAGAGACCATTTGAAAAAGCAGCAAAATGCATCTAAAGTTAAGCAGGGCCCTCTCATCTGATTTACAAAATAGCATTACCTCCTCTGTATGCCCACCTTCACCACCTTTAAACCTTAAATGTCTCCAGTTCTCTAACCCTTAAACAACATTTTATAGAGCTTAATATATAAAAAGGTGAGCATAAATGATTGTCAGGAAGAAAGTATAGCAGCTCCATAGACCATCCCCGCCTTTGCCTGGTAAAACAAATAAGAAGAAATTCATTTACACTTCCTCGCTGTCATGTCCTGTTGATGTAAATGCAACTCAATAGAACAGTTCCTGTGATCCAATTTTCTCTAGGAAAATATGGAATATTATACATTCTTGTTTTTTTATCTCTGTATATGACTTTCTTCTGTGTGCCTAAGAGATTTCCTAGCCCAGGCCTTGACCCAGGATGATTTTTCATGCGGCTTTGCAATGGGAACATATAATATCAAATCCCTTATCTGCTTTTTTTATTTGTTTTCTAATTTATCTTCTATCTGCAAGTAATTAATAAGGCAGTGTTAGGAAGAAATTAAAAAAATTTGTGGGATTTATTTGAAGAACATGAAATTTCTATCCTAAGATAGTAAAAATTGTATCCTATAAAGTTCAATTATATTTTTTTATAAATAAAAAATATTGAAAGTATCATTATATACAAGCATTAAGGGAGTATCAATCCATGAAGAAAATTATTTACGTTTCAACCACAATATCGATTAGTTGTCCTATATTCTCCATGGAGTAATAGGTTGACCCATAACCAAAAAACACAAGATCTGAAGCCGTCTCACTCTGATCTTATCAATATCCTCATTCCACCTCATCAAATTCTCTCTTATTTCTTTTTCACCATACTACCCAAGACATTGTAAGAGGATTGAGTCTCAAAAGTTTTTTCTTACTCGTTATACTCTTCTATGTCCAAATGTCATCCCTCACTGTACTTACTATTGCCAAATTAAACTCCAGAACCCCATGTCATAAATCATAGATTATACACAATGGGGCACCAGAGTGAAGTATAGTCACAAGTTTCCTCCACCTCTTACATTCAAACGTTATCAATTTTAATAAACTTAAAATAATACATTTAAAATGTTGGAAAGTTCAACTAAAATTAAAATAATACATTCAAAATATTATTAATTTTGTTATAATTTGAAGTGTATTGTATCAATTTCACCGAAAATTCTCGCAATATCAATTTGTATCACTGTAAAATGATCCATTTTTTATTAGCTAAATTAAGTGTATTTACTCGTAAATTTTGGAATTAGAATTTATTTATTTCAAACAGTTTCAGTTCCTTCATAGAAGACACAAGAATATTTACGGATTGTTCCTAACCCTTCCCTAAACCATGTCATATTAGGTAAGACCTTTACCTGGGATACTTCTAAGCAAAACCTAGTTTGTCCTTGGTCACAGCATTAGACATACGGCAATTCTCTTTATAAGTAATAAGTTCATGTCTAATGAACTAATTTGATATATCTAATTACATAAATTTCAATTTCTGATTGGTGGAGATCCAAATTGGTACAGGTCATTCATCCATCAACAGACCCAAGGGTAAAGAAGTATCACAACGCCAAATACTACATATTCCGGGACCTTTATGAGCAACAGCTATCTCAGCGTTCAAGTATTGCTGAAGCTCTCGCATAGTTTTACTGGTCTTGTAAAGTGGTATAATTTGTTGAAAATCCATAATTTCAATTTTGAAGAAATGATTTGATTTTTGAATAAATGAATAATTGATTTAAAAAATTATTAGCAGAAATTCAATAGATTACCCTTTAAGAGATTTGAATAAGTCACTTTGAGTTCTGATTACTAAATAGGTAGATTTTTTATTTTTATTTTTATAAATTGTGTAAAAAAATTTGAAACAATCCCTTTAAATTTTTAAAGAAATTAAACGATAATATAAAAAATTTTGAACTAGGATTTATCTTTTATGAAAACAGCATTCAATGCCTATGTACATTTTAAAGAGCTTTCAGAAAAGAAAGCTAAAACAGAAATTTCTTTTAAATACTTCATTAAAGAAAAATATTCTTCTGAATAGTTTTATCTTGTATTTTAGTACAACTACATTCACAAAGTTTTAAGTGCAATAACTATTATATAAATTAAACACTTTGTTGGAATAAATTTAAAATTTTTTAAAAATTTATTTGTAAATTTATAATTATTTTAATTAAAAAATAATAAATTTATCTGAAATAAATGAAAGTTAGTTTATATGAAACTGAAGGTTGAAAATATTCTAAATTCTACAATTTTTAGTAAAATTCAATATATACTGATCAATTTTATGTGAAATTTAAAAAACTTAAATATCTTAATACAATCTAAGTGCACTCTTAATTAAATTTAAGTATGAATTTATAAACAATACACAATTTTTCATTTTGTTGTAAATATAAAAATGTTTTCTCTCCTAATTCAAAAAATAAATAAATGAATAAAAACTGTCACCGGATAAAATAATCATAGTAGATATTAGTTGTGGCCTCCAATATTAGTGACAATCATTTTTTTTACATTTACAAAATAAATGTATATAACAATAAAATTTGAAACCTAATAATTGGTGAACTAGACTACAATCATTATTTATAATTAAATTAGGAAATTTAAAAATTCGTATTAAATAAGTTAAATCCGAAATCAAGCTCATTTACCTATTTTTATTTAAGAAGAATACATCAAATTTAAATTTTTTAATACTCAAAAGTTAAATAGGATTCACCGGGGTTTGTTCTATTTCAAAAATCACATTTTAGCGCAGAAAAAGACGGTTTTATCCACGCCAACTTCGGTTTTCTCATTTTAACAAACTTGATTGCTGTCGATATGTTGACCAGATGGTTGGGAGTGGTGGTTGGACAATAACTAAGAAGTGATAAGTGTAACGCGGACTGAGAAGTTAAATTGTTAAAATGCATGCAAGGCGTCGGTTATGGCGTCACTAGCATGCAGGAAAAGTGTTTTGTTATTTTTGTAGGTTATTCGTTTTCACCCACTGACGCGGACCTTAGAGGGGAGGGGTAAGGTTTCAACAATTTAAGTTGTTATTTGGTTTTTTTTTTTTTTCTGGAGCTTTGAGGTCTTCTTGGGGCGCCGATATATCCAAAAAAGGTCGCCCTTAATTCGGTTTTCGTTTTCAAGTATTATTTAATATTCATGGAATACTAACGGACTGTCTATCAAATTGGTTGGTAGTCATGGATTACTATGCTTGATGCAACAAGTTTCATTAGAATGCTGCCTTCCGGGCGTTTGAGAGAGAGTGTTTGTAGCTGGGGATCAACAGTTGCAGAAGAGAGATTCGAGTTCATAGAAAACAGGATGAGAGTCAATAATTTAAAATTAAACGATAAAAAACCGCCAAAACCAAAAACCAGCTATACCGTAATTCAGGAACATGAAAACTGAATAGAAATTATTAAAAATGAAAAACAAGAAATAAGCAGAATTGTAACCATGTGATCATTTTCCTTAACAGGATAAACCGAAAATGGAGTTGGTTAATTAAACAATTAACAAAAGATCAATTCAACAATTCTCCAGCAGCTTTTATGAAGAATATGATCTTTTCCCATTCAAAAGATCACTGAGGTTTTACGTCCATTTCAAAAATAACTACTAAAACATTCTCCCCGCTGCCATTCAAATCATTCAAGCAGTTGACATGATCAATATGCATAACTACACTTGCGATTTATGATCATAGCATAAATCATTCTCATTGCTAAATCATTCTCATGTGAAATGAAAACTGTTTAAGAAGCATGATAGCATTACACTGTTAAAAATTCATACATGAAAGCTCAAATCAGAATTGAATTAAAAAACAGATGATGAAAAATATATGAACTGTTTTCCAGCCCAGATATCTAATAGATTTCTACATATAAAGTCCTTCAGGTACCCCTTCTTTCTTCTTAAACATCACCTTCTCCTTTGCCTTCTTGAAGTCTGCATGTGTCACCTGAAGAACAATTTGCCGATGTTAAAATATAAAATAGCAAGGTGCAAGAATCTCAAGTAGCCAAATGTAGACCAGTTAACAAACTCCTTACTGAAAGATAAGAAGATGGTCATATAAAAGTCCAACAATACCAAAACTTGGCCTTGGATGAATTCAACCGGGTTGCTAATTACAAATAGAAAACTATTCGAATTTTCAACCCACCCACAAGCCAAACCTTCAATGTTGTTTTATAACACATTAAATTATGTAAGATGCATGAAACTGCAAGGGGAAAGTCATTAAGGGAAGTGAACCTTGGTAGGTGTAGGTTGGTGGAAGAGACTGAAAGATGTTTGAAGAGGAACTATGCAGAAGATTTGGAGAACTTTTTGCGCCTAACATCATCAAAGAGTTCAACAAGCTCACTCAGGAAGGGATTAACCCAACACTGGATGAAGCTTATTTCATCTCCAGGTTCATAAGCGGTCTCGATTAAGAACTAAGACCCATCATCAGTCTGAACAAACCACAAAACCTCATTGCATATGAATAAGAACTCTTGCAATCTCAGCATACTGAGGCAGTCATGAGACGCCAAAAAGGTAACTTTCGAACATCCTCTTATTCACACATATTCAGTCCCAAATACTACTCCTGTTGTCCCTAAAAAACCCATGTAACATCACTGACCACAGCCCTGTAAACTCAAATGTTTCTAAATGAAGACCTTTTGAAAACAAGAGGCACAACAATGCTTGTTATAGATGCGGTGAGAAATATTTCCCAAGACATCAGTATAAGGCTCAGCAACTTTTGATGTTATAAGACCTCCGAAAAAAAGAAGATCAACCAGGAAAGGAAGAGGAAACCAAGGAGAATCCACAAGAGGAAACTACAGGAGAGATCTCCCTTCACACATTGGAAAGCCAAGAAGGACGGAGTATAATCATGGTTTGAGGAATCATAGGCACCAGACCTACTTTTATCCTCATTGAAAATGGGAGTACATACACATTCCTCAACTCTCAGGTGGGACAGAGATGTGGGTGCAACTAATCAAGGCTCCAACCCTCTAAAGTGTTGGTAGCTACCGGAGAAGCCTTAATCAGCCAACACCGAACACTATGCTATATTGGAGAATTCATAAAATATTGTTCAAGTCTTTAGAGTGATGGAGTTAGGGTATTATGACACGATTTCGGGAACGGATTGGATGAAAAGCCAAAATCTGGTGCCATTTGATTTTGAGAAAATGCATATCATTCTTAAGAGGATGGGAAGCCAGTTTCCATACAGGGGGTAAAAGGTGAAGGATTATGAAAGAAGATATCAATAAATGATCGGAAAAGTTGCTCATAAAGG